GAAGGGAGAGAGGCAGAAAGTAGACTGGAAAAGGGAAATCGAAGAATTGATGAGGAACGGAGGGATGATGCGGAGAGTGCTGTGAAGGTAGGAAGGGAGGGACGCACTAAGTATGCAAAGATTTTGATATTGTAGGACTGGAAAGGATGGAAGGTTGTTTGTACTATACTAGGACCATACATGGACTTCATTTTCCATCACTCAACTGTATTTATTTATACCTAATGTACACATTGGGGGTTGGGCTATAATAATAACAGGGTGCTCATTGAGTGGTTGTATCAGAAGCAGGGCACCCCAAGCTCGGCATTGGGGTCACTCAGCATGTCTCAACTTTGGGGTCGCGGCTCCAACTTGGGATTTATGTTCTCAATTCGTGGTTTCGTGGTTCCACTATAGGGAGCGCTTCCAAGCCCGCTTTGTGGGCGAATTGAGCATTCTTTGGGCGATCCAAATTTCTTCACCTTGACCAGCGCAAGTCGCCTTCAGACCAATTCCCAGCGTTTCTGTTTTTTGCTCATGTTTCATAGCATACTCTATTTCGTTTCCAAACTGTCTATGGGTCCTCTCTAGAGCACTTCCAAACCAGTTTCTCCCTGTCCACATGGTGCAAGTGGGACTGTTTTTCTACACTGGGCCTATTGTGTTTGCTGTGAATCACTGACCATCATAACTGTTTGCTCTCAAGCATGGCCATTATGTTGGTCGATTCGGTTCGTAGGCGTTAAAAGGTAGTGTGAAGGGATAAGCACCAGCTGTAGTGAAGGATTATAACTGAAATGGTCCGGTTAGGTGTCGAATTACGTCAGTTCAGAGTGTTCCTCTTTGGTCGATTTAAATGACCCACAAATCAGCCCCCTACAGAGCCATTCGTTAACAGAACTGTTAAGTTATACTATGACAAGGTACTGGTTCAGTTTCGCTCAGTTTGCTTTGTTACTTTCCTCAAGTAAAACTGTGACCTCTAGGGATGAGCACCGGACGAACATCGAACATGTTCACCCGAACAGCCACGAACATACTCAGTGGGCGAACCGAACATGTTCGGTTCGCCCGAACACTTTTTACTGAAATCGTATGTTCGAGGTTCGCCCACTGAGGGCGAACCTCTTAAAGGAGGCCGAACAGTTGACATGTTCGGGCGAACCCGAACATGTTCGGGTTCGCCCACTGCAGGGGGGGGGAACCTGCTTATTTTTTAAGTGGATATGAGCTCCCAAGCGTCTACTTAACTAACCTAGTGCTGAAAGTACAGGTTTGCACCAACTAAACCGTGGAGTTGATTTAACTTAAACCGAAACCTGCTGGTACAACCCTAAAAAACATCCTTAGTTGGGCGTTTTCTTTGTAGTGTTCAGCTCGACTATATCTTGCATACAAGATTGGTGCTCTTTTTTTTACATCCCCAAATCCCCCTCTTAAGATGACCAGTCTCCCCCAGGTTTCCCCCACAAAAGGGAGGGCCTATTATTGCCCTGCTTTGAATGTGATTAAGTTAATGGTATACCCCAACCTAGGGTTGAGCAAAAAAACGAACACCTGTTCCGTTCGCCTCGAACGTGTTCGAGGCGAACCGAACAGGTATTTTTTTTTGGCTTAAAATGTTCGCCGAACAGTGTTCGATGTTCGCCCGAACACGTTCGTGTTCGGGCCGCTGCTGCAATTTGCCCGCGACGAACACGAACAGTGTTCGAGGTTCGCCCGAACACGCCTTCACAGGCGAACGGCGAACACCATTTTTTGCTCAAAGTGTTCGCCGAACCGAACAGTGTTCGGTTCGGCAAACGAAGGTGTTCGTGTAGGGGCGAACACGAACACGTTCGTGTTCGCCACTTGCTCATCCCTACCCCAACCAAACATGTTCCTATTGTTGTAAATGTATAACTTATACAGCATTCATAGGCTAGAATAGGTGTAGTCATTAATGTTATTGGGGGGTTGGGTGTACACTCCAACCACACTTTGTGGTTGGTCAAGATTGGGTTTGGTCATGGTCCTTGGTTGGCACTTGCCAACCTTTGGTCCTTAGACCAACCAATCCCAGCCTAGCTACATGGTGAGGTTGCTTGCTCTACAAGGCACCTCACCTATTGGCCAACTTAGTGGCCAATAGTTTTAGATCTCTTCCACTCTTCCTTTCTTGCATGCTTGTATTATAGAGTCTCTTGGCTCATTAGTCAACCACAATCTTGAGTTCTAACACAGGTTACCGTCAAATAGGGGTGAGCTAGGGGCGAACACGAACGTGTTCGTGTTCGCCCCTGCACGAACATAGCCGCTTGCCGAACCGAACACTGTTTGGTTCGGCGAACACCTTTAGCAAAAACAGGTGTTCGCCGTTCGCCTGTGAAGTCGTGTTCGGGCGAACCTCGAACACGTTCGTGTTCGTCGCAGGGCAAATTGCAGCAGAGGCCCGAACACGAACGTGTTCGGGCGAACCTTGAACACTGTTCGGCGAACACTTTAAGCCAAAAAAACAAACATGTTCGGTTCGCCTCGAACGTGTTCGAGGCGAACCGAACAGGTGTTCGTTTTTTTGCTCACCCCTACCGTCAAACAGCCGCCTGTTCAACCCAAAAACATAATTGTTTGCGTCTTAGGGAGAACGGCTGATCACCACAATTGACTCGAACTGTTTGAGTTGAGTTTGGGTATCTCAGATGTTAAAGTCCGCCTGTTGCTCATGTCTGCCAGGTACTCCTAGACATGAGCAACGAGCGAACCGAACACGTTTGTCTCGAATAGTTTGCGAACTGAAGAAAGTGGATCGGTGAACTTAGGGCACGATAGGAAGAAGAAATCTCCTTAGCAAGAAAATGGTACAAGTCTTAAAGACTAGAGCACGGTCCTTGTCAAGGATAATCCCTAGTGAAGTGGGAAGCCACATATATGTGGCTGAACTCTTGAGGCTAGCTGCAGCACCTCAATGCTGAGGGCTAGGCTAGCCAACCTTGCCAAGCTAGCAAGTGAGGCCACATGTTGCACATGTGGGCCAGGCTGGAACAACAGCCCACATGACAGCATATGGCACACCATAGAGGCCAGCAAGGTGAGTGTGGGATGAGTGGACAGGTGGCAATGCCAGCTGTGACCACACTTCACTGTGGTGGAGTGTGGTAGAGTGTGGACATGTAATGTGGAGCATAATGAGAAGGGAACCTGCAGCTACTGAGAATTGAACCCACAACCTCTAAGACCACAGGTGAGAATCTACCATCCGGGACATATTTGCTGCACAACACCCCCCCTCAAGGATGTCCCCGGGGTAGGGTTCTTCAAGCGGAGACATGGGTGAGACCGAGAAGACCACGGATGCGTAGAAAAGGGTCACGGGGCAAAGGTTTGGTGCCAATGTCAGCGAGGTTGTCTTGAGTAGGAACATAGTGAAGGGTGACGGAGTGGTCGGCGACATGATCACGAATGAAATGGTGCTTGATGTCGATGTGTTTGGCCTTGGGATGAAAGACGCCGTCGTCCTTGGCCAGAATGATGGCGGCGCTGTTGTCACACGAGATGCGGGTGGGGCCGGGTGGGGGAAGTCCAAGTGCAGTAAGGAGGGATCGAAGCCATAAGGCCTCATGCACCGCGGCGCCCAGAGAATAGTATTCAGCTTCACATGAGGAGGTAGCGACGACAGCTTGACGTTTGGACTGCCAAGAGATGAGTGACGGACCGAGGAAGAACAAGTAGCACGTAACGGAGCGTCGGAGCTCGCCCTCCGGTCCCCAAGAGGCGTCACACCACCCATGGAGTTCAAGGGTGTTGGGAATGCCGCCAAGGAGAAGCCCGAGTGAGGTAGTCCCTTTCAAGTAGCGAGCAACGCGTTTGGCAGCCGAGACGTGAGGAGTAGACCAATCATGAAGGTGACGAGCAAGAACTCCAGCGCTATATGCGAGGTCGGGACGGGAACCCACCATGGCATACATGATGGATCCGACAAACGAGGTGTAAGGAAAGGAGGAGGAGTGTGGTGAGGAAGTCACGGGCGGCTGAAACTTGGTGTCCATGGGGGTGGCAGCAGGGTTAAGTGGTGTGAATGAGTAGGTGTCTAAGATGGAGGTGATGAATTTGGATTGATGAAGGTGGAGAGTGCGTGAGGTCCGATCACGAGTGATGTGAAAGCCAAGGTAGTAGGAAAGAGGACCGAGGTCACGAAGCTTGAAGCGAGATGAAAGGGCACGCTTGAATGAGGAGAGAAGAGAAGAGGAGGAGGAAAGAATGATGAGGTCGTCAACATAGACGAGAAGCATGAAGAAAGATGCAGCTGTAGGCCGATAAGGAGATTGTGGAGTAGCAATGAAGAGGCCGGGGTCCGCACGGGCAGCAAAAAGGTGAAATGCAGCAAGCTCTTCACGAAGTTTGCGGTACCAGCACCGCGGCGCTTGCTTCAACCCGTACAACGGTTTGTGCAAGAGACAAACTTGCTCAACACCATGGACCGCCGGAAGCTCATAACCGGGAGGCTGCATCATGTAGAGAATTTCATCAAGAGTGCCGTTGAGGAAGGCGTTGGAAATATCCAGCTGATGGACTTCCAAGTCGAAAGCGGCAGCAATGGTGAGGAAGAGGCGGAGGGTGGCGAAGCGAACGGTAGGAGCAAAGGTGTCATGGAAATCAACACCGTCGCGTTGTTTGAAACCTTTGACAACAAGGCGGGCCTTGCGGCGTTCAATAGAACCATCAGCATGCTCCTTGACCTTAAAAATCCATTTGCATGGAATCGGTTTGCACTTGGGTGGTCGAGGAACAACGCTGTAAGTGTCATTAGCGTGCAGGGCAGCGAGTTCCGCATCAGCAGCCTTGATCCATTCAGCAGCATCAGGGCCGGTGCGGGCCTCATGAATGTTTTGAGGTTCGTAATGATGATGAAGGGCGGCATTAGCAGAGGGCTTGGAAAGAGGAGGAAGGGTGAAGTCAATGGGTTCAGAAGAGAGGGTAGGACCTTGAGCAGTGAGAAAAGTGAAGGATTGGAAGGAGCTGAAGGGGATGGTGGTGAGGAACTAGAGGTGCAAGGGGGAGGACGAGCTGAAGAAGGAGAGGAGAGGGATGGAAGGCGGAAGTCTTGCGGCGTCGAGGGCAGAGGAAGATTGGAAAACAAAGGAGGAGGAGAAGAGGTTGCTGGTGCTGGCAGATTTGGAGATGGGGGGAGGAGGGTGGTGGAAGAGGTCATGGGAGGTGAACGAGAGGGAGGGGAGGTTGGGTCTGAGAGGGAAGGGGGTGGAGGAGGAGGCGGAGAGGATGACATGGGTGGTGGAGATGACGATGGAGGTTCCCGAGGGTCATCCGAAGGTGGCGAAGAGGGCTCCATGAAGATGACATCACGAGAAAGTGTGACACGGTGCTGAGTTGGGATATAGATGCGATAAGCTTTGGTGCCGTCAAGATGACCATACCCAACCATGACGCCGGCCGTGCTTCGGTCGTCGAGTTTGGAGCGGCGTTGCGGAGGAACGAGGACTGAAATGGGTGAACCGAAGATGCGGAGGTGGGATACGTCCGGACGTGCACCGGTCCATAGTTCTATGGGAGTCTTGGAAGCTGAACCACCCCGACTAATAGCATGATTTCGGAGATAGGCAGCAGTGAGAGCGGCTTCACCCCACCATCCTCTGTCCATGTGTGCGTCATGAAGCATGGAACGGACCATCTCAAGTATAGTCCGATTGGCGCGTTCAGCAACTCCATTTTGTTCGGGTGTGTATGGCGTAGAGCGGTGTCGAGCGATGCCATGAGCATTAAGGAATGAAGTGAAGGCCTCGGAATTGAACTCCAAGGCACCATCGGAGCGAAACGCTTTGATGGTCCTTGGGGAATGCATATTGTGCACCCGAGTGACGTACGCTTTGAAGCACGACAATGCCTCTGAACGATGGCGTAGTAGATACACGGTAATGTGGCGGGAATAGTCGTCGATGAAGGTGAGAAGGTAGCGAGCGCCTCCAATGGTAGTTCCATATGAAAAGGGTCCAGCAATATCCGAATGAATGAGTTGGAGCGGTGCGGTGGTGCGAGAATGGGACACACCAAATGGGTGACGCGTTTGTTTCCCACGATAGCACGAGTTGCATTGAGGAGGAGAGGTTAAGACCGGAGACCAGCTGCTGCCGATGAAGTGTTGACAAGTCCCGCATGTTAAGATGCCCGAAACGGCGATGCTAAAAGGTATGAGGAGGAGGTGGTGGAGACTGGACATGCCGATGGGTTGATGGGGGGGGCGGCACTCTTTCCATGATGCAGCTGAAGATAGAACAGATTGTTGCGGGTAAAGCCCTCGCCAATAAGAGCCTCATCAGTCTTGAGCTCAACCCGCCCAGCAATGGGGAAGGAAACGGTAATGCCGGCAGCTCCAAGTGCACGAACTGAGAGCAGATTGTGAACCGATGAAGGGAGAAACAGAACGTTGTCTAGCTGGATGGTGGTTTCCGAGGTTTGGGAACGAAGAGTAGCCACCACCGTGCCGACTCCCAAGACCTTGTAAGTCTCTCCGCCACCAAAGCGAACGATAATATCATGAGTTGGCTGCTGGAGAGATGAAAACAGCGAGCGATCGGAGCAGATATGGGAAGATGCGCCGCTGTCCACCAGCCAGGAAGACGTCCGGACCAGGTTTGATGAAGAGGCCGTGAATGCCGATGCATAGGGAGCACCATAAGGGAAGAGGAGGAGGAGGAGGAGGAGGAGGATGGTGAAGATGAAGAGAGTAGCGACGAGAGGAGTCCAGGTGGGGAGGATGGAGCCGTGGCTGGTGCTGAAAGCAATGTCAACGTACCGGGAATCTGGTACGGACTGAGAGGCTGATGGGGCAGTAGGTGTTGTGGAGGTCGAAGGGATGTCGGCGGAGGAGCTTGTTGACACATGCACCGAAGGCTGGATGACAGATTTCTCCCGTCGAGAGCTTTCTTCGATCTCTTTCTTCTTCTTCAACTTGAAGCATTCGTCAATAGTGTGTCCGGTTTTCTTGCAGTAGCGGCAAGTAGGGGACTGGCGGGAACCGGAGCGAATAGGGTGGGAGGGCTGGGAATGGAGGTTGTATGCACCTTCCATGTTGCGGCTTGTACCAGATTGTGACCGCTCCCAATCGGCATCGAGTAGACGTGACTGCAGGTATTCAACTGTCATAGACTTGATGTCTTTCACGGTGCAAATAGTTTCTGTGAGAGTCTTGAAGGAGTCCGGCAGATTGAGAATGATGGAGATTACCACCACCCAAGATGGTAACTCGAAGCCGGCAGATTTGAGTTGGTGCGTAAGATTTCCAACTCGATCGAAGTAGGAGCGAAGACTCATTGTTGGGTCCATCCGTGTAGTGATGAGATCTCGGAGGAGAGCCACTTGTGCATGGTTACCCATGCAGTCAAACCGCGCCATGATGCATCCCCACATGTCCTTCGTCGTGTTGGCTTGAGCAAGTGTGAGCGAGAGCTGAGGATGGACGGCTGACATGAGAAGATAGTACGCATGCTCCTCTTTTTCTTCATCCGGCAGCGACGCAATCGAGTGGGCTGTTTTAGGGGCTGCACCATTGTTGCCTTCAGTAGCATCTCCACTGCTGGTTGTGGAGGAGGAAATGGAAGGGCGGGAAGCAACCTTGGGATCTCCAAGAAAGGAGATCAGCCCAAGGACATTAAAGATGTAGCATATCTTTTTCTTCCATGGAATGAAGTTGGAACCATCCGGTTCCAAGATAGGAAGGGTGTGCCGACCGAGAGGCGTCTCAACTTGAGCCATCAAGTGTGCGACGTTCACAAAGCTAGAAGCCTAGCTCTGATACCATGAAGAAAGTGGATCGGTGAACTTAGGGCACGATAGGAAGAAGAAATCTCCTTAGCAAGAAAATGGTACAAGTCTTAAAGACTAGAGCAAGGTCCTTGTCAAGGATAATCCCTAGTGAAGTGGGAAGCCACATATATGTGGCTGAACTCTTGAGGCTAGCTGCAGCACCTCAATGCTGAGGGCTAGGCTAGCCAACCTTGCCAAGCTAGCAAGTGAGGCCACATGTTGCACATGTGGGCCAGGCTGGAACAACAGCCCACATGACAGCATATGGCACACCATAGAGGCCAGCAAGGTGAGTGTGGGATGAGTGGACAGGTGGCAATGCCAGCTGTGACCACACTTCACTGTGGTGGAGTGTGGTAGAGTGTGGACATGTAATGTGGAGCATAATGAGAAGGGAACCTGCAGCTACTGAGAATTGAACCCACAACCTCTAAGACCACAGGTGAGAATCTACCATCCGGGACATATTTGCTGCACAACACGAACACTTGGTCAATTCGAACCGAACCGACCACGTTTGACTTGAACAGTTTTCTTAAATGTTAGTGTTCACTGTTCGAGTATAGGGTCGAACAGTTTTGAGGCAAGGCCGAACACTAAGGTGTTTGACCCGAACTCGAACAGTTTGCCTTGGAGGGTCCTTTCTCTATAGCCACATTCAGGCAGGGCGAGTGTACTAGAAGCAATATCACGTTTCCTATAGCCCTACAAGAGATATAGTTAGGCTTGACGCAGATCTGGTGGATATCCAATTTCGCCCTGCTAAACTCCAACCTAAACCGTAATGCCCTTAGCTCCTTTTTTTAACCGTCTCTTACTCTAATCCAACTTTATACCTAAAGTTTCCAGCCACAATGTGGAATTTTAACTGTGGGAATGTGTTAGTTTAAGTGGGTAGGGGGCGGAATGTCATCATTAGGCTACATCGACGATAGAGCTAATTCTTGAGCTCAATTATTGCCCTCCCCTTTTAGATCCAACCAGCCCGTCAAACTTTGACGCGCAGAAAAATGCACGAACACCTAGGTGTTTGCGACGAACACATTGTGTTCGCGAACACCTAGGTGTTCGTGCATTTTTCTGCACACGAACACTCGAACAGTCGAACGTGTTTGTGACTAACACCAAGGTGTTCGTCACGAACAATTTTGGGTAAAAAAAACGACTCGAACACGTTAGAGTCGAACACTTTTGAGTCGAACCGAACAGGGGTTCGAATTTTTGCTCATGTCTAGGTACTCCTCGGCCTATTTCCTTCAAACGAAGGACGATGAATCTTCTGTTATCGTCAATAGGACAGAGCAGTCCTGCACTCACTTCAAGAAGAGTTTCTCAACAACACCCCTGCCTCCTACGGCGCCGTGCATGACATCCACCAGACTCACACCCTCCCCAAGGGTTGTGGCATCATTGGCACCCGCATTGGCAAGATCACCAAGACTGCTCATTGTCACCTCCTCTCTCATGCCCCCACTCCTTCTCTATACATCTTTATTTTTCTTTTTCATGCCGCCATATTCCACTTGAACCGGTTCGGGTTCGGTAGTTTCTCATGCCTACTTACAGGCCTTTGAGGTTTGTAAGCATGCCAATTGCAGCAGGGATTGCACCAGTGAGCTGATTGTAATGAAGATTTCTGCAACAATGAACACGAATGGGCTCGCATGTAAGGTTCATGGAGAAATATTACATAATAACGAGCTGGGATAGGAGAAAGCAACTCCAGAGGAGGCAAATTTCCTGAAAATGTAGCAGATGCATGAAAGTCCGACAATGGCATAGGATAGAAAGGGTAAGGAGAAGTGGGGAGAGATGCGTTCTTTGCATGCCCCAAGGAACGTCATAATTTGCGCAGGGAACTTAACATAGGAGAGGGGTGAACAGAGGTGAAGGCAAGATAGCTGCAAAACAGAAGAAAAAGGAGTGGAGAGAAAATTATATTTAACGGCTTAAAACGTTGTGCAGAAAGGGTAGGCCTTAGCAATGGTTCAGGTCGGGTCAGGTCGACACGACTTGTGACACTCGACGTCGTGACTCCTGCATTTGACACTCACAAGGTTGCCTTCCGTCATGCAGCTCATATTCAAACATCACACCCAAACTCAGGTGGCCCAATGGATAGTAACTACAAAGGGTGTGCAGCGCCGGGCTGCAGCCCGTCAAGCATCTGCAAACTGTATTTGATCGGGCAGCCGACTGTCTGGTTTGGGAGGTAGCGGCGCAGCAGAGCAGGGGATTCACAAGGAAAGCAGATGCCAGCAGCTAGGCGAAACCCGAACTATGTCTTCATCAACTGACAAGCTTAAGTTCTAAAGATCTCTAAACAGGGGAGAGGGGGGGGGAAGTGAGGTGGCGAGGATGACAAGGCGTTGCACATGGGCTCACACAGGTAGACACGAGAATAGAATAAAAATTGGATCAGTTCAAGCGAACAACTTTGCCCCGAACCAAGCAAGACCTCTAACCCATTTGACTCCGACCCCTTCAATTTTTGGCTGGTTCGACCGAAAGGAAAGTGGTTCGGTTCGATAACGCCGGCCGATTTGACCACGTTCGCACGAACCGGTTTGGGTCCAGTACTTGCTCATGCCTTACAGGGTTTGCAGGTTTGTAAGGAGGCATATTGCAATGGGAATTGTGCCATTGAGTTGATTGCTAGGAAGATACCTGCCACAATGAGCAAAAATGGACACGCAAAGAAGATACTGAAGCTCAATTTTGCATGGAAACGAGCAGCCGATAGGAGCAAGCAACTCCATTGGGATGCAAAATCCCAAAAGGCAGATCGTCCGTGGTGGGTTGGAATGTGTGCTGCGCTAACAGTAGCAGAGCAGGAAATGGATTGGCAAGAGACGTGAGAAAGACGAGTTGTCTGCCTGCCCCAAGGCATGTCAAACATGTATAGAATGATAACGGGAAAGAGAGTGGCGGGAGAAGGGAGGAGAGAGGCGAAACCAAGATAGGATAAAAAGGAATGAAATGAATAAGGAGAAAAGGAAAAATCATGTGGAAAGAGATGTGAAGAGAGGAATGGAGGGATGCAAATTAAAAGCAATGGTTTTGAGGCTACAGAACTGGAAAGGACAGAATGTGTGAAAAAAACATAGAGGGAAGAGGGTAAATGAACAAAATCAATCAAGAGTGGCAAGAAAGAAGCACGGCGGAAATGTAGCAGAGAGGCCATACACTCGTAAGAAAATTGTACGAGTGCCTTGGCAACTGCCCGGGATCTAAGCCTAGCAGGCACTCGAAACCTTGGCTCTATAGAGCACCATGGCTGCACTCTCCGTTACCAACCAGCACAGAGGTGTTGGCAAGAGTCTCAGTTGGCTGCTTCTGCATGTCTGCAGACAGACACTGCAGTGTGTGGTCATTCCACACCCCCAAATCACTTCTACCTTACAATGCACAATCATGAATCCAGTCCCATGCACACTACTAGTACCAAGACCACAGGATACATCGAAGGAGAGGGTGATGGTCAGCTGAGCTGATGCGAGTGAACTTTAGTGCATGGGTCAGGAATAGCAACGATGGAGGAGAAACGGCGGAGAGTAGAGAGGAGTATAGTTAGGAGAAGTGCTTTGTTGGGAGCTTACAAAGAGATCAGTTTTGCAAGCTTGCCGACAGCAGCAGGAATTGTGCCGCTGAGCTGATTGACCGAAAGTGATCTGCAACGACGAGTATGTATTGGCATAGAGTAGATATAGGAAGCTCAATCTGCATGGCAAAGAGGGACGGATAGGAGCAACCAAGCAACTCAAGGAGTAGCATCAAAAGGAGGAAAATCGTGGGGAGTAGAGAGGAGATGAACCTGGAGTACAGCCAAGCAAATGACTTGTTGGGGGCTTACAGAATGTTCAGTTTTGCAAGGTTGCCAATTTCAGCAGGAATTGTGCCACTGAGCTTGTTGAAAAAAAGTGATCTGCAGTAAAAGGGAATGCTCATGTTTGTGAGCAAGCAACTCAGTTGGGAGGCAAAATCCCCCTGAGGATGCAGCAGAGACATCAAGAGCAGCACAATGGAGAGTGTCTGTGGTACGGGGGACATCGAGTGCTGACACTGGCAGGGGATGGATGGGGCCAGGAGAAGGGAGGACAGACGTGCACTTTGTGTGGCCCAAGGACTGTCATCAACGTATGGATAGGCCATGGGGAAGAGCGCATGAGAGAGGAGGCAGAAGAGGCGCAAAGTAGATAGGAAAAATGGAAGGAGGAAATGAGGAGCACAGGAGGGATGATGTGGACATTGCTGTGAAGGGATGA